TACAAAAGTGTGCAAAGTAGCTGCAGATTTTGTACTCACTTTTGACCCGTGTCTGTTAATGAAGAGTTTAATTAGAGCCCGACTTATACTGGATTAGTTTCAGGCTTATTGATATTTGAGACTTAAAAACCTTTCTTTTTGAACGTTAAACCGACCACATGAACAAAGACCTTTGATAAGGATCCCCTAAATGTAGTTCTTATTATTAAAGAGTTGAATAAGATGCGTGTCGTTGCTTTGCTATGAATGGAAGTTCACTCATCATCGTAGGGATTTCTTCACGTCCTTTTTATTCAACAAACCCCCTTTAAAAGTGGGATTAAGAGACGCTGTCTTGTTCTAGTTTGTGAAATGACTCCGTGCTTTCTCTGTTAGTCAAATTCAACTAGTCTGTTGTTGTCTTCGCTAACGTGAATAGAGCAAACTGAAGGAACAATCACTGTCATTTCAGATTTATAAAAACACTAATTTTATTTAAAAACCCACTTCTTTGTAGCCCAAACTGAGCCAGTGATCTGATGTGAAAGCTGCCTAACGGAGATTTAAACCACATGTTCAGAGACTTCTCGATGCTTCATATCTGCTGGATTAGTGCATGAATATTCATTTGAGCATGAGCCGTCAGAACATTTCTATATTTAGGATTCTCTGATGATCTAAGTGTACTTACCTGCTGTTTTATACCCGTCTCCTCAGTGGAGGTGAACACGCTCCTGCCCTCTGTTCCCTGTGGACACTATTTGTGTAGAAGACATGTGAGCGTTGTGAAACACACTAACTCCAGCTTCTCCACATTTCCTGTAAAAACACGAACTCTCTGAAGTGTGAAAGTCTTTTGTTTTGAAGGTGACTTCCTGTGAAGCCCTGTTTGCACCCCGTCCTTAAAGCTCTGCACTGATATCATGTTGGTGTCATTAATTATATATATTTATGTTTTAAAAGACAAACCAACGCCTTGAGGTTTAATAGTTGACCTGATATCCAGAGTGGCTGTTCATGGTACCGTTTGTTTACTTGGTTTTCCTGTTTTTGTATTATTTAAGTGACTTGTTTGTGATATTGTAGAATCTCTGAATAAAACTCCCTGAAAATAATCTGTGTGCTTTTTATCTCCTAAAGTATTCATCGTGCTGACTGTAACGCAAAACACTGGATGTTGTGTAATCAGATGTTTGTTTGTGTAGTACAAGAAGACACACACACACACACACACACACACACACACACACACACACACACACACACACACACACACACACACACACACACACACACACACACACACACACACACACACACACACACACACACACACACACCATTCAGAGATCCAGAGACAACTACAAACAACAACCTGAACAACTCATCAGTACACAACACACGCACATCAGTCTATAGTAAACACACATCAGTACACAACACACACACACACACATCAGTACACAACAGTCTATAGGAAACACACATCAGTACACAACACACACACATCAGTACACAACACACACACATCAGTCTATAGTAAACACACATCAGTACACAACACACACACACACATCAGTACACAACAGTCTATAGGAAACACACATCAGTACACAACACACACACATCAGTCTATAGTAAACACACATCAGTACACAACACACACACACATCAGTCTATAGTAAACACACATTTACATTACATGACATGTTACTTGTTAGACGCTTTTATCCAAAGCGACTTACATACTCAATACTGTGGACAATCCCCACAGGAGCAATTTGGGGTGAAGTGTCTCAGGGACACAACGACATGCTGACTGCAGTGGGGTTTGAACCTGTGACCCCCTGATCCCAACACCAAGGCTCTATCCACTGCGCAACACGCCTCCCTACACATCAGTACACAACACACACACACATAATTCTATAGTAAACACACATCAGTACACAACACACACACATCAGTACACAACACACACACACATCATTCTCTAGTAAATTAAGTGTGGTGAAATACACCCAGATCTCCACTAGATGGCAGCATCACATAATGCATGTTTTAAGAACTGCAGAAATGATTTAAGTACCTTAATATGTACTTAAGAAAAGTAGATGAGTAAATAAACTTCAGTTGCTTGATACTACTTTCAAATCTGTGATTGCTGCTTAATGTTCAAAGCAATTATTGACTTTCCGTTTATGCAGCAGGTCTTCAAATAAATCAGCAAAATCAAATGTCAGTGAATGTTGAAAGCTTGGATTTTTTAACGTTTTTCCCTCAGGTTTTATTCATGCAAGTGGAAGTATTAAGTAGTGTAAAGTTAAAATACTTGAGTATCTGATACTGTGGATATTTCCCATGAATGACAGTTGAGTCGGAGGCAGAGCAAGTATTAATTCTCTTTATTTACACATAGAAAACGTTTGGCACATTTCTGCTAAAGAACATTTTGTAAGAACGTTATATATTAATATATTAAGTCTGTTATGGCTCTACGACCAGTTTCTATCACACTGAT